ACTACGTGGTGTAGAACCTAACATTTCCCATCTGCGTGTATTTGAGTGTGCAATTTATACCCCCATATCACCTACAAACCGTATGTGACAACCCAAAATTTAATTTTATAAATTCGGTTTTAAGAAATTCTAAAATAGCCATTTTTCACTCTACCAAAATTTTTGTGACCCGAAAACAGTGTTGGAATTAATTATTTTGAGTTATATTTTAAATGAATTCAACACCGAGACTTATTTTAATTCTAAATCCTAAATTTTTTGGTACATTGCGTACCAAGTTTTTGACCCAAAAGTCAATCTGAGTGAAACCAGGAGAAATCTGAGAAACCTAAATCAAGTGTTTATTTAGAAATTGTTTTTTTGGAAAATCTATTTTGGCCCCCAAACTATTTAAAAACTATCTTCCTAGACTTGGTCCATGTAGCATGGTGGACCACAAACCTCCACTTCTTTGTCTGATACATTTTAAAAGCCAACCAAACTATCATTTTGCCCTTCACAAATCATTGTTGATTCTCCTAGGGTTTGGACACCACTATAAAATGAATAGTTATCAGACCTTTGCCTCTTGATTCCATCCTTGTCTTCTCACCAATAGCTCTGCAAGAACACAAAGGAAAGCACAGTAAGTTTCTAAGCCTAATCTCATCCATTCATCCTCTTCCCTTCTAGCTTCCATTTCTTAGCTTTCATCTCTGAGATTCTAGTTCTTAAGGTTGGTTTTGTGGCTTGTTTGAGGTGTTTAGGTGGTGAAGGGGGTAGTGGATGACTTGGGAAGAAGGAGGAATCTCAACAAGAAGAAGAAACAACAAAGGTATAACCCATGAACTCCCACATCTTATTTATGACTCTGTGAAGTCAAGATGCTAGTGAAAATTCTTAGAAATGCTAGACTATTGATGTTGTTGAGCTATTAAGTGATCTATTGTTGATCTATGATTGTGTTGTTGAGAATTTGGGAGTGTTGGATTGCTCAAGAATTGTTGTAGGTGAAGAAGAATCCTCTCTGGTGCACATTGTCTGTGCACCAGACAAGCTCACAGAGCTAGCCAACGGCCCTAGGTAGGGACCGTTGGCTAGTCCCGTGAAGGGCCGGCTCTTGGGCACGGTTCTTGGCTAAATCCGTGCTTGGCGGGGCTCCTCAAGCCCCGCTAGGCCAAATCAGTGCAGTGGTCGGGCCCTCTGTGGCTTAGCTACGTGTCTTTTTCGGTCCGGAAGTCACGGGCCCTTGAGGCTAGGACACTCGGGTCGTTACGTCGCACTAGTAGAATTTGACTTCGTTGAATTTGGAGTTGAAATGAGTAATTTATAGTAGAAATTGTATAGAGAATTTCTTTGAAGTATACTGTAATTTTTTTACAGTGAAGAAGGATTTTGAATTGTTTGAGCTTAGCCATTTGATTGAAAAGCATGATCATTATTTGTTAAGTTTTTCTTGAATAGCATGTCTAAATATTCATTGTGAGTTATTGAGAATTTGTCAAGAATATGAATATTTGGTTTGTACAGTACATGAGCTTATTTAATTATAGTGAAGTGAATTACTAAAGCATAAAATATAAGTTGAGTTTATGAAGTGTATTTCAAGTTTAAAGAGCATAATCATTATTTGTTAAATGTTTGCTAAGAAGATTACCGAGAATTGAATTATGAGCATGAGTTTGTACATTGCCTGTTTGACTTATAGTCAAAGAGAATTGAGATATTCTTTATAGTAAAAGAGCTTGTTTAGTATATCATGAATTAAAGTGCATTAGCGGCTCTAAGTAAGTCTAAGTATTCTTTTAAAAACCTATATCTATTTTGGGAAAATCATTATCTAGTTGCACTGAGAAGTTGCATGATACTTGATTTTCAATTTGTGAGAAAAGAGAAGTTGTTGAGGAGCTATGTGCATAAGTTTGCATAAGTAAGTTATTGCATGAGAATGAAATGCATGAGTTATATCTATATGTATCTAGTGTGAGTAATCCGAGGTTTTGGATGCCCGTTAGGACTATCTCCTTTTGGAAGAAAAGAGAAAGTAAAGAAAGAAACAGACATTGAGATCCGATGTGAAGTAACGAGGTCGATATTCCCGAGTTACTGGGTAGGATACTACTCGTCGGGCTTGGAATCCCGGTCAGGGGGTGTGCACACTGACAAGTACGATACCTGATTCCATAGAGTTTGAGAAAAGAGCAAAAAGAATGGTTCTGTGGTTGAGAAGAGTATTAGGCCAGCTAGATTATAGTGTATATGTATATCTATCTATACTTATACTAAAGCATCATGTTCATTTTATTGCATGATTATAAGAGTTGCATGATTTACATGAAAGTATGAGAAGAAGCATGTCTTTATACTGTCGTTTATTCATTATATGATAGCATGAGACTGTTTATTAAGATAAATGATAGCATGAGATTGCTTATTGAGACACATGATAATATGAGATTGCTTGTTGAGTATTTAGTATCTCTTTACCCATCAGTTGAGCATGATTAGTGTATTTCACCATGATAAGTTATATATGTGAAAGCATGAGATTGTTGATGAGTTAAATAATTGAGAAGTATGCCTATTTGATAATTAGGTTGCAAGCATATAGAACTACTGTTGAGTATGTTTGAATGTTGTTTAAAGTGATTGAGAATACTTGATCTAAGTGTGAAACAAATGTATTCAAAAAGTATATGCTATAGTACTTTACAGGGTTGAGTAGCGTTATACTTAGCTTCGTGCTCACGGGTTATTTTCTACTTGCTTGTTTGTTAACCCCTTTCAGGTGAGCCCAGTTCTTGAGAGCGATCGAGTTAGACTAGATTAGCTTAGAGTGCTTGTTGTAGTCTAAACTCTTTTTCAGTTATGTTTATTGAGATTTGGTTGTAGAACTGTTTAGATGTTTTGATGGTGTTGGACACTGGGGTTTGTTCCCTAAGATTGTTTAAAGTTAGTTAAGATTGACTTTGTTTAGATCTTTTCCTTTCCTGTGCAATCACTGTGTGTGGTGATTGTGGCGGTGAAACCTCTTAAAGTTTGATTAGTAAGTTTATTATGCTTGTTTAGTATCCATTTCTAAGTTAAGTATTGTTAATAAGGTTTAAGAAAAGTGGGGTGTTACACTATACCTCCATGGGCCCGCAGCGAAAACTAGGTATATATGTTGGTTATGAATCTCCTTCCCTCATTAAATACCTAGAGCCCATGACAAGAGATCAGTTTACCGCAAGGTACGCTGACTGCATTTTTTATGAAGATCATTTCCCGGCATTAGGGGAAGATAAAAGACCTTATTTATTGAAATGTTGGGGTAATCTCATGGGATGAAAAGGATCTTCAGTATTTAGACCCACGTACTAGTCAAACTGAACTAGAAGTTCAGAAAATTATTAATTTGCAAAATTTAGCAAATAACCTGTAAGATGCTTTTACAGATAACAGAGGAGTGACTAGATCCCATATCCCTGCTGTGAATGCTCCTTCGAGAGTTGAAGTCCCCGAGGGACCAAGTATGCACACTGACACTCCCCATCGCCATAAGTGCGGGTGACCACTTGGTGCAAAAGATTTAAATCCACGGAAGACGAGAATTGGTAAAATATCTCAGTCACTCTAGAGAAATGTTAACCGTCCTGAAAACGACCGTCCCGAAGACGGAGAACCCAATAAAACTGCATGTGCTCTAAATAATATGAACACTGGGGATGCGGAACATCCAGATAAGAATATTTTGGGAAATGACAATGATCTGGTTGATGTCAATATAGAAACTGCCATAAATTTTGTTGATACAGGAGAAGCATATAACAGAGATTTAATAGTCGCCAACGACACTTTTGCCTATGCAGTTGCCTGTAATATTCTACAAAATAATCTGGATCCAGAACCAAAGTCAATAACTGAGTGCGGGAAGCGCTCTGACTGGTTGAAGTGGAAACATGCAATTGAGGCAGAGCTCAACTCGCTTAATCAAAGAAATGTTTTTGGTCCCACCGTACTTACCCCAAAAGATGTGATCCCAGTAGGATCTAAGTGGTTATTTGTACGGAAGAGGAATGAAAACAATGAGGTGGTTAGATATAAAGCGAGATTGGTAGCTCAGGGGTTCACGCAGAGACCTGGAATTGATTTTGATCAAACATACTCTCCTGTTATTGATGGCTTTTCATTCCGCGATTTAATATCACTGGCAGTAAACATGAAATTAGATATGCAGTTGATGGATGTAGTGACAGCTTACCTTTATGGGTCACTAGATGCTGATATATACATGAAAACACCCGAGGGTATTCAAAATTTCAATATGAGGGAGAAAGATCGAAACATGTATCACATCAAACTTCAAAGGTCATTATATGGCTTGAAGCAATATGGGAGAATGTGGTATAACCATTTGAGTGAATTCCTCCTGAAGAAGGGATATGTTAAAAATGATATTTTCTCTTGTATATTCATTAAGAAGTCATCTAATGGTTTCTGTATTATATCTGTCTATGTCGATGACATGAACATTATTGAGACAAAGGAAAACCTTATAGAAGCATGTTCATGCTTAAAGACAGAATTTGAAATGAAAGATTTGGGAAAAACCAAGTTTTGTCTCGGCCTGCAGATCGAGCATCTCCCCAATGGAATTTTCATTCACCAAGCTAACTATTTTAATAAATTATTTGAGAAATTCTATATGGATAAATCTCATCCCCTTAGCACTCCAATGGTAGTCTGGTCCCTTGAAGCGGAAAGGGTCCCATTTAGACCTAAGGAGGATAATGAGGACGTACTAGGACCTGAAGTTCCTTATAAGTGGTATTGGAGCCTTGCTTTATCTGGCTAATTGCACTAGACCGGATATTGCTTTCTCAGTGAATTTACTTGCTAGATTTAGTGCATCTCCAACCAGAGGGCATTGGAGTGGAATAAAGCATATCTTTAGATATCTCCAAGGGACAAAAGACCTTGGTCTTTATTTTGAAAACAACCAGGACATTACTTTGACAGGGTATTCAGACGCTGGTTATATGTCTGACCCTCATACTGCTAAATTGCAAACTGGTTATATTTTCCTTTGTGGAGGTACAACTACATCTTGGAGGTCCATTAAACAGACCTTAGTTTCTACCTCATCTAATCACTCAGAGATAATTGCTTTATATGAAACCGCATGCGAATGCGTATGGTTGAGATCACTGATACAGCATATCCATCGCTCATGCGGAACAATGAGCAATGTTGATTCCCCGACTGTCCTATATGAGGACAATGCAGCATGTGTTGCACAGATGAGTAATAGGTACATTAAAGGATACCTTACTAAACATATCGCTCCTAAATTCTTTTACCCACATGAACTCCAGAAGAGTGGTGAGATACTACTCATTGAAAATGTTCGCTCTAGTGAAAATCTGGCAGATTTGTTCACTAAGTGCCTGCCTACATCCATCTTTGAAAAGTACGTTTATAAAATTGGGATGCGAAAGCTAGGAAGACTGTTGTCTTCAGGGGTAGCGATAAACTCTAAAGTTTAAATCTGGAAGATGATGCCCGGAAGGCTTACGGTTGTACTCTTTTTTCCTTAGCTAAGTTTTTCTCCCACTGGGTTTTCTTAGGTTAAGGTTTTTAACGAGGCAACCGATGCAACGCATACTTTACACTACATGTACTCTTTTCCTCGACTAGATTTTTTCCACAGAGTTTTTCTAGCGAGGTTTTTAACGAGGCATGAGTATAGTCATTTAATATAATGGCTAAGGGAGAGTGTTATAATTATTATACTTATGGCCATTAAAATGTAAAGACTCTTCATTAGCTTTCCATTGATTACATTATTTATGTTATGTAGTTGAAGGGTTGTATGAATCATTATATAAATTGGTGAAAGCTAAATGATACAAAACACACTTACATGGTTGTGGTGCTCAATTGTGTTCTTCTCCTTCTCCCTTCTTGTTGCTTTATTCTACACACGTATACACATACATACAAACCCCAGGCTATTAGCGTGCAGACACCTCAAGACAACTAACGAGTTGATAGGCCAAAACGCAACGATAATAACATTATTTTTTATTCTCTACTAGCATTGTCTATGTACATTAGCCCTAACAACTAAGATCATATTTTCTTTCTCTCCTATAAAATGTGACCAAATTAATACTTTAAAAAAAAAACAATTAATAGCTTAAGATCCATCTCAGTTCCTTCTATATATATATTCTTGGCTTATTTTGTTTACTTCCCCATATACATTATGTAGATTGTGACTTCGTTTAAAATTTTTGATTTAACTTTGAACAAAGGGAAAAAAAAAAAAAAAAAAAAAAAAAAAAAAAAAAAAAAAAGACTTATGGGAAATTAAAGTTCTATTTGGTAAAATAGTTAACCTATCGGTAAATTTTTGCTTGTTTGACCATTATTAGTTGTTTGGTTTGGTTAAACAACCAATATAAGTGTTTGATTAATTTGCTTTTTGTAATAGTTTATTGCTTCAAAAGACAAATTCAAAAAGATGTTCAAAGCATCTTTTCTTATTAGCCTTTTGAGAAAGTCAATTTGCATATAATCAGCTATCAACTAATAACTAATTACCAAACATCTTTCTACAATCAGCCAATACTATCGACTAATCAAACACACTAACTCAATCAGCTAACAGCTATTTACCAAACACCCCCTAAGTGCTTTTCTTCTTCCTTTTAAATTTAACTAATGTAATCACCAAGCAATACTCATATAATATTTATATTATTATTGCTGTTAAACTTTTATGAGACAGTAGGTTAGTTGAAGATCCATTCATTATTGTGTAGACTATACCATCAAATAATGTATATTCAGTACACAAATAATATATTTTTAGTACATTAAAAATGTACATTGTATTCAGGAAAAATACATTATTTAAGTACTGAAAGTACATTATTTTGTGTAATGTACATTCAGTACCTGAATAATGTAATTTTAATATATTAAAAATGTACTTTTTTTATGGTCCACAAAATAATTTACCTTGAAGATATGGGTACAATACTACAATTGGGCTGAATTGCATCGAACAATCTATGCTAGCTGGTACCAACATAAAGGAGTACAATCATTATACCGTAGATCATACTATCATAGATCTAAAGTTCATTTTTAATATATTAAATGTTTATTTTTATGATATTAAAAATTTATTATTTGGTATACTAGGTAAAAATGAATATTTATTAGTGGTCCGTATCATAATTTGCTGAAGGAGTAGGGGATCGAGGTGCATGATTGAGCGAGGTGGCTGAGTGGCGATTATTATGGCAATAATTTTGCATCATGTGTTAATTAATATGATTCTTTCCAAAGGTTAATTAATATGATTGATTATTCCTGTGGGGAGTTGCAATAAATAAATAAATTTACTACACACCTTCTTACAAACACCTACCCAAAAACTCTTCACAACTACTCACTCTCACATACAATTAACCACTCACCAACAAATTGCTACCTGCTACACTACTTCCAATAAATTGCTATAAAAAGAAAAAATCTAGAAAATAAGTTATATTTACGTGAGAATCTACCTTATTGTGTGAACTTTGAACATAAAAATTCGTACATACTCTTTATGTTGTATCACTTAACGGTCCAAAATATGGTGTACAAAAAAAGTTAACTCAAAACGCAATGCATAACACGTGTGCATTGTGTTTGTAGTGCACTACGTGTACATTGTGTTATAGATGACATGCATCGTCCACTAATCAAGATAAATGGCACAAATTAATTCTCAGATTCACATGTTAATATAAGTTTTCTTATGAACCACTACAAGAAAAATGCACATAGACAACGGTTAATAACCGTTGTCGTAGGGGTATAATTTCTGTTGTTGAAGCCGGTGTTGTTGTAAGTCCCGCGCATAGACAACGGTTTTTTAACCATTGTCTTTTCTAGAAACAACAACGGTTTTTTAACCGTTGTCTATTAAGTGTTGTTGAAGCCGATGTTGTTGTAAGTCACGCACATAGACAACGGTTAATAACCGTTGTCTTTTCTAGAAACAACAACGATTTTTTAACCGTTGTCTATTAAGTGTTGTTGAAGCTGGTGTTGTTATATGTCACGCACATAGACAACGGTTAATAACCGTTGTCTTTTCTAGAAACGACAATGACTTTTTAACTGTTGTCTATTAGATGTTGTTGAAACAGGTGTTGTTAAAAGTCACGCACATAGACAACAGTTTATAACCGTTGTCTTTTTTAGAAACGACAACGGTTTTTTAACCGTTGTCTATTAAGTGTTGTTGAAACCGGTGTTGTTAAAAGTCACGCACATAGACAACGGTTTATAGCCGTTGTCTTTTCTAGAAACGACAACGATTTTTTAACCGTTGTCTATTAAGTGTTGTTGAAATCGGTGTTGTTAAAAGTCACGCACATAGACAACGGTTTTTAACCGTTGTCTTTTCTATAAACGACAACGGTGTTTTAACCGTTGTCTATTAAGTGTTGTTGAAAGTTGTTAAAAGTCACGAACATAGATAACGGTTTTAAACCGTTGTCGTTTCTTCCAAAGACAACGGTTTTTGACCCGTTGTCAATTCAATGTTGTTGAAACCGATGTTATTAAAAGTGATGCACATAGACAACGATTTTTAACTGTTGTCTTTTCTTTAAAAGACAACAGTTATAAACTATTGTCTATTGTGGGTTGTTGAAATCGCTGTTGTTAAAAGTCACACACATAAACTGTTGTCTTTTCTCTGTTGTCTTTTGTAGAAAAGACTACAGTTTCAAACTGTTGTCTATTGTAAAATAGACAACTTTTAACCGTTGTCTCAACTCGTTTTTAACCTGCTTAAATTTTAATCATATAAAAAAAAACAATTTATCCATTCACCATGGCCAAGTGTAGTTACATTGCACAAGCTAAGCAAGGTTCAAAATAACAAGTCTAAATACTGAGCATGACCAATTCTAATCAAATCATCATCCAAGTCATAATACTACAAAAAACAATTCCGATCCACGAACCAAGTCTAAATGATCACAACGTCAAATCATACATACTCTATATAACTTGATAGAATATCGGCCCATTCTGAACACACCAATATTGAGTTCATCTAGCAGAACCCTGTTAGAGTATACACACAATTCGAACACATGTGATAACCTAACCTCATAGCGGAAGCATAATGATCTAGCAAAACTCCAGCCATAGTTGATACTTTGTTGCATTGCATTGTTGCTTCAAGAACTCCAATAGATTAAAGTTTTGTTGTCTACCATTAATATCCTGTATGAACTAGATGGTGTAGTTGTAAAGCTGCAACAGGAGCAATGGGAGGACCATGCTTAAATAGCCTACATGCCATCATTATAGGCTAAGTAACGGAAACTGTTACTTCATTTTCAAACCACAACATAATTGGCCTATTAAACTTGCACCACTTAATAGTGTAATTATAATGAAAATGTTACATTCTCCCACTTGGTGCAAGTATTAATTCAAAGAAACAAAAAACATGAACCATAGAGATGGTTCCTCTTAATCAGAGTAGTATCTACTTATGATTACAATGTAATTTATTCTCTAAGTACCTTATGTGGTATAAAACTTAATGAATAAACCTTATGTTCATTCTTGATTATAATTAGTTATCAAAAACTAATTATTGCCGCAATTGCTAAATTTGGCCTAATAAACTTGCACAACTTTATTTGTACAATATTAATGGAAAATGTTACAATTTTCCACTTGGTGCAAGTATTGGCACAACCCTTGTTGAAGATCAAAAAAACATGAATCATAGTGGTATGTCCTCTAAATTAAAGGGTGAGTAATACCATCTATGCATCACATGCATTTTGATTCCCAACTCAGGTCCTTTATGAATAAACCCTACGTTTATTCTTGGTCCAACGTTAGGGATGTTTCTCAAATAAATATGCGCATAACCATAGGATAAACAATCCAAATTATTACATAGAAGTGACAACATAAATGTACGTACAATATAGTCACATAATAAGTTCCATGTACCATGTACGATCCCTAAAATTCTTATAAGCATGCCTTAAGTAGGGATCCGAAACTATTAGCAAAATGCTAATATATTACATGACTAACTCATTATCTTTAATATTATCGCTGACAGCTAAGTTTTCAGAGTCGACACGTCTGTCACTCCTACTCTCAATATTCTTAGCCAAAGATAATAATTGAGTAGTCCATATTCCAACGACTTAGATAATAAATTCATGAGTCTAAGTCCACAAACGGAACTTTAAACATACACCTTATAAATGATCTCCAAAAAGGAAGGAAGCCCAACTTTCATGTCTAGAGCAATAACGAGGACTTATTAATAATGTAACTTTATGAAACAACAAAATATTGTATCAACATAATCAAAAGTCTTCTAGATTCATCTATATGAACTAACATCATGAGTCTTTGCATGCTTTATGTCTCTCAACACTGAATTTTGAGCCTTTTCAATCTTAATGACCCATGATCAATTTGATGATACGAAAGACTC